GCTTCCTCACACAGTCCAAAAATATGACTGTTAGTTTAATTGGCTTCTCTAAATTCTCCTGTTTGTCTCTGTGATGTCCTGCGATGGACTGGTGACCTGTCCAGGGTGTACCCCACCTCTCGGGTACCCCGCCACTCGGGTACATTATATAGACAGCTGGAGATAGGCACAAGCACCCCTCGTGACCCAAACTAAAATGTAGAGTGACAGTAAATGGATGGAAAGCTGGAAGTTTGCATAGAACACACAAAAATGAAAAGTGAAAAGAGAAGGGCAACAAAAATACAACAAAGGTATAACAGAGTCAATGTTTAGGGGAGGTGGGGGTCACACAGGTCTTCTTATATAGATTTGTCTGGCGTTCAAGTCTTATTGAGGATAAGTTCTTTCCGGCCATTTTCTCCATTGTGAATATTTCCTCTACTATTGATCCATTGTTTTCTGGTAACCGCCTTTTCTGCTGCCACTATCAAGATTTTGTGGAGATAGATGTCTTTCCTGTGTATCTCTTCATTCTCCAGCCTGCCCAAGTACACAATCGGTTGGTCCTTGGGTATCTTGTATCCTATTAGTCCTTCTATAGTCTGAACAGCTTGATCCAAGTAGGTTTTTATTTTTGTACATTGCCAAAATATATGAGACAGGGGCAGAGCTAGATGGGGGGCCAGGGGTGGCCATGACCACCCATAGCCAATCATTGGCCACCCCTTTGCCCACCCCTACCATTTTATTCCCTCTAATACAGATGGTGGCAGCAGTAATACTCTCAATTGGAATATTCAAAACATTTTAATTTTTTGTGGTTAAATATGCAGATCAATATACTAACATTAAAGATTAAAAGAACAGAAATCATGCTCTTTTCAGAACTACATTTTGTGTTATATGGTGTAAAATGATAAAAAATAAAATTGTCTCTGCAAGTCATCTAGCAAGTCATCAAAAAGAGCCCAACAGATTTTGCTTTTACAAGTGGAGCAGTACGGCTATCGCCATAGTGTTCTGCCTGATTTATGCATGTAGATAGCTTTATTATGATTATGAAGTATTACAGGTTATATGGACCCTGCAATATAAGTAGAACAGGAAAGGAAAAACAGGAAAAAGGAGAAAAGATGACAGAAAGAGGAGATAAAAGGGAGACAATGATAAAAAATCTTCAGTCTGCTTCATGACCTGCAAGGAGAGATGTAAAAGGAACAGCACAACAAACGGATATAGTATATAAAATACAATAACCCTGAGGTTCTGGCGTCTATCCACTATCAGCCTCCCCTCAGTGTACATTGGTTGTTGCCTGGCCACCCTTATAAAAATGTTCTGGCTTCGCCTTTGCTATGAGAGTGACTTCCATTCATCTGTCCACATGGCCTCCAACATTTTAGCTGAGTATGGAGTAATTTGTTTTGTAATTGAGGTGTTATAAAGTAGCGTATCAAATTTTGCAGCCAAATTCCCTCCAGCATCTAGAGCTTGTGCAGGACTGTTGTGTTTGGCACATTGAAAGCCAGTCGCTCTTTGGCAGTTTCACTTTTAATTCTGCTTAATATATAGTGAGTTATTTCCGTTTCGTTTTTGTAGGCTTTTATATAACTTAGAAACAATTGTAGTTGTAGTTTTCGTGTATGCGTCCAAAAATAATTGAATCAATTTATTTCCTTTCTGTGATAATTCTTTCTCAACCTCATTATTATAGAAGTGTCTTAGCTGTAGGTATCTGAAAAAATCTCTGTTATCCATTTCAAATTCTCTTCCGATTTTATCCGATGTTTTAAATGTTCTTCCTACTACTAGTGTGCAGATAGCTCTTATCCCCGTTCTATAAATGTGCTATCTGATTATCTGATATTTTAAAGTTTCTTCTAAAATGGTGTTTTCTGTAATTTTGCTTATTCTTTCTTTTTCCCCAAGCCTGGCTTGTAGTTGTACTTGGGTACGTTTAATTCTATTCGTTTCCAATTGGCTTCGTACCCAGGAGAACACCAATTGATTACGCACCTTAGTTGTGCAGCATAATAACATTCTTTAAAGCTAGGGATCACTAAGCCACCATTTCTTTTATCTAGTTGAAGTGTCTTAAATGTCACTCTTGGTTCTTTTAACCTCCACAGATAAATCTGGATATTTGTTTGTTCCACATTTTAAACTGGGCTTCTGGAATCTTAAATGGTAATGATAGAAAGAGATATAGTAGCCTAGGCAGTATATTCATCTCAATTATTTCTATTCTTGACCAAAAATCCAATTCTAATATTGACCATATCAAGAAATCTCTTTGTATCCAATTGTTAATTGTGGAATAATTAGTTTCCTGAATTTTGCCCGAGTTTTGCATAAGTGTGGCTCCCAAATATTTAATTGATATATTTTCCCATTTAAGTGTGTACCTTTGTCTAATTTCCTTACTCGGAATGTAGTTTAGTGGTAGTATCTGTGTTTTTGAGATATTAATTTTTTATCCTGACATCCTCCCGTAATCCTCGAGTTTTAAAACAATGTTGGAAGCTTTACATTAGGATTCTATAAATATATAATTAAGTCATTAGTGAATAGCCCAATTATATGGTCTTCTCCTGCAATGTTCACTCCCTTCAGTTGCTTGATTTGCCTTATGAATTGTGCTAGGGGTTCTATGTAAATGGCAAATAGTAAGGGGCTGAGGCAGCAAACCTGGTGTGTGCTTATAAACAGATTGAAGCTTCCCCCAATGTGGCTGTTATTTTTAATTCTTGCAGTGGGCTCTTTATACAGTGACTGAATACATCTGATGATTATTTCATTAAAACGCATTCTCTCTAATACTTTATATAGAAATGGCCATGATACTCTATCAAATGCTTTTTCTGCATCCAAACTAATCAAAATGGCTGATAATTGCTGTCTGTTTATTTGGTCAATAATATGAAGAGTTCGCCTTATATTATCTTGTGTTTGTCTTCCCATGATGAAACCTGATTGGTCATTGTCTATCAACTCAGGTAAAAGGTGTCCAAGTCTTTTGGATAGAATGGAGGTAAATCATTTATAGTGAACATTATAATAGAGACTGGGCAATAAGACTCACAAAGTGTCTTATTTTTACCTTCTTTTCCAATAACAGAGATTACTGCCTCTTTCCAAGACCGAGGGGTGATGGTGTATTGCGGCGTAAAATTGAATGAATTTAACATTACTGGGGAAAGGTCTTCATTGAAAATTCTACCCCACTCTTTTCTTTTCTGGTTTTAATGTTGCCTGAGGATGTGATGTCAGAGGGACAGACTGCATCAAAAGAAAGCCATAACCTAATACCCCAACATGGAAGTTGTAGTTCTGAACATGGAAGTTGTGGTTCTGACCCGTATCACTTGTCCATTACAAGCATTGGTGTTCTTTTGCATGCAAGTAAATGTGACTCACAAAATGTAAACAGGAAGAAAAGATGCTGGAGGAACCAACATGGGAAGACAAACCTACCCATAGGCTTCCCCAACACAACTCGATGGGGCTGATATGACCAAATCCTACCAATAGCTAGGGAAAGCAGGTCTTAAGCCAGGCATACACTGCAATATTTTCAATCATTGCACTCATCTACAGCTCAAACTATACGATGAAACTGCAGGGTTTTAAAGTTCAAAGCTCACGATGCGTGTTCTCACACTGTGCGGCCCGACGCTGTGATGCGATCTTACGATGGCCGACTGAATTTCAAACATGTTTGATTTTCTCCCGACCTTACGTTTCCTGATTGGGAGCTGGTCGTGAGAGTCTGATCGCCCCTCATAACCCCCTGTATACTAAAAGACGCACGACACACAATGAAGCTGAAACTCAGCCCGATCTAAACATTCTCGCATGATCAGAGAATCGGCCCGAAAAAGGCAAAAAATTCATACAGTGTATGCCCAGCTTTAGGTAAAGCAAAGAGGCACCATCATGGCAAAGGAAAAGCAGGCTTTGAGCACCAATGCAATCAAGGCCCAGATCCACCACACAATTATCTCACAGCAGGGTGTAAGATACTGGAAGAAAACCAAGTAAATGAAGAAAACAAACATAGCCAGATTCTCAGTGCTCAGGGGAGGGCTAGTAGTAATGTAGTTCCCTTGCTGATTGGAGCCCTAATCACAGTGTCCTGAGTTTGTTTTTGTTTTTTTGCATTTTAAAGCAGAAACAAATCCAAATGTTGCAGGAACCCGATGCTTAAGGACTTCTGTTTGATTTCACTGATGTAGCTTATTCATTTATTTTCCATATTTTTGAAGAGTGGTGTCCACTACCTGGTGTGTTGCCCTGTGATCGTCGCCAGAGACACACCATCTGAACAACCATGAAAAATCAAAAGGTTAGACCAGTTTTATGCAACTCAATGGATTTGCTTCTTCTGTCTGTGTTCTTTTTCAGAACTACAAGACGGTTGTCAATTTCATCGTCGGCTAACTTGGATAAACAAGGGAGTGGGGGTCTCTGTTTTGACTGAAGGAAACACTTTTGGCAGAATGTTTCCTGTTGCTGAAAGAGAGAAGATGGGTTATTAAGGACAAGCGTTGGTACTGCACAGTGGAGACATGAAAGATAAGATGGGGATTTGTCTCGATGGGGAATAAATATGTACTAAAAGACACATGAAAAAGCATTGCACTCAGAGCATTTTAATCCTGTGTTGGTTTGCATATGCACACATACTGTACTGTCTGGGCCTGCACATGTCAATGTGAATCTCCCACAGTAGCTCACATTCATCTGTCTGAGCAAAGCTTCTCAGTCTCTAGCTCTTACTCTCTCCCTCCTCTCCCTCTGTCTGTGGCTCCCTCCGCCCCTACCCTCTCAGTGTGAGCGTAGCCTGGGCGCAGAGCCAAGTGGAGTGTGTTTTTTTGAATGAATACCTGATGCGGCTGATGAGGCTGGCTGGGGGAGGAGCTGTGTCAGTAGAGTACTGAGAGAGAGAAACAGGAGGAGGGAGGGAGTAAGGGAGGGGGGGTTGGAGAGGGAAAGGAAGGGAGGCAGAAACACTCACTCACTTACAGAGAGCAGGAGACAGAAAAGCAACCAGGCAGAGAGAAGGAGAGACGGAGCTGGCGGAGTGGTGGCCTTGCATAACACTTGCTGGAGCAGCCTTTCACGCTGGTCTTGGTGGGGTCTGCAGCACTGACGAACTTCCTTTTACCAACAGCCCTTGTTGCAAGAGGCGCAACAGCCCATAAGCCAAAATTTAGAGATCTCCACCAGAGAGCTGCACAAAGGACAGAATCAGGAAGAAGAATCCTAGGAGACGTAGACGCAGACTGACACTGACTGGAAGAATCCTTGGACATGATCTGCAGGCAGTGGCTGTGGACAGACTGGTGAGCTATTCTTAGTACTATTACTCAGGGAGGGGGGGAGGAGGAAGAGAAGGGGGGGGGGTCTTTTCTTCCTGATTTGTGGCATAGTAGTAATTCTGCCCTGCTACTCCACTCATGCGCCCTCACTCTTAAGCCCCTAGAGACCGGAGTCCCAGCATCTGTCCTCTGATCAGTCCAAAGTCCCTGCTGCAGGATCTGACCCTGTTTGCTGCCTGCCTGTATGTGTGCGCATCTGTGTACACATCTCTTGCTGGTTGGGCGATGTGATTAGGAGTGTGCCAAGGACTGATGCAGAACTCTGGAGTCATTGTGAAGACAAAACAGCCTGAACCCCTCTGCCTGTTCTTACTGTCTGCTGCCACACGGACGGTCCGCCTCTTAAAGGTACAGGCAGTGCTGTTGCACAGACAGACATGGAGATGTCTCTTTGAAAAAATAGGAAAGGAAAGCCTTACAGAGCATAGATCTACTCTGTGGCACTGAGAGCAGATTTGTTTGTACTCAGGTTAAGGTGACGTCTTGTGTATATGCAGCAATTCACTGTTAAATGCCTGTACATATTGTGCTGCACAGTACCTCCCCTCTCTGTTTCATGCCGGAGCTCAGATTGATAATGATGTTTTTGTTTTCTATATATAGCCTTTCTCTGGACAGGGTAATCACTGTGTTTCTATGACTGGTGGCAAATATTGCATAGGTGGTATGCCCCCATCAGGGACATTAGGGTTCGTTTTCCACATTTGTGACATCTCAGCACACTTTCAAGAAAAAAAAAGAATTGGTTTCCTTTCTCTTTGCACCACTGCCTGATGCATCCTGCAGGGAAATGTTATTGCAATAAAGCAACTGATCAATTTAAGGTGTAAACACTCATGGCTGTGGCACAGAAGAAAGAGGTGGGGGTGGGTGGTATCGGAGGAGCTGGCAACTGCAGCATGAGCGAGGAGATACAACCCTGCTAGGAAGCCTCTCACCTGGGCAGAGGGTTTAGCTGCACAAACCAGTCTCTGAGGTTTCTGTAGCTTTCTGATGTGGAAAAAATGGAACACACACTGGGGTGGGGTGCCGTGGGGGGTGATCCATCCCTCTCTATCTGATTGATGAGCTGAACAGAGCACGTCCTGTCCTCTCCACTTCAATACACTGTGTTGTCATCCCTCTGTGTGCATGTCTCAGAGGTGTCAGTCCTGAGTCAAGGTTCCCATGCTGCGTGGCTCACAGTCTTGAAGGCTCGCCTTTGTTCTCCATAGTAACATGGAAGCTTTACGTGTGCTGGTGCCACTGCTCTAATTATAGGCTGACACAGGAAAATCTGGAGAGGCTTTTTGGCTGCTGAGCTTTGTGTGTGCCGTTCGGGCTGTTCAAACTGTTGGTGTGTTAGTTGGCTTTGTCTGCCAATACTGCTTTGAAGACAGGAGATGCCAGTGCCTCAGATGTGATGTCATTACAGTGTTGACACGGTGTTGCTGAGGTGGGGTTGTTGCCAAAGAGCAGAGCAGCGTAAGCTCAGACTGTATTGGCGGCTGCGTTGCTGATCAGGGGATCTCTCGGCGAGGATGGGGGGGCAATGGCGCTCTGATGCTGCAGGCGCTGCTCAATGTGGGTCAGGGAAAAGCAGGAACTCTTGTCTTCTCCATGTCCTCCCCGTTCCTTGTCACCTTTCTTTCACTCTTTTTTTCCCCCGTTCCGCAGAGTTCTGGGTCTTGCACACCCTTTCTTTCTTTTCCCTTCCCTCTCTTCCTTCTGTTGCTGTTCTCTCAATCTCTTCTGCTTCCCTCCTTTGTTGCATTTGCACAATCTTTCCTGCTGTAAACTGAACAGAGGTTCTCGCTGCATGTCTATGCAGTGACCTTGTCAAAACCATCATTAGAGCTGGATGCTTTCATATAAAAGATGATCAAAATCACCTACCCTTTTCTTTTTTCCTCCTCCCCACCCTCTGTTTTTATGTAACATGTCTGTGGTTGCCTTCTGTAGTGAACCACTGACATAAAAAAGAGCACACCAGCTTAGTCAAAAGGTAAACTGGAGCTGCTCTAAATGCAATGCACAGGAAAAAAATGAACACTTATTTGCATGCCATATATGTATAGTCTATTTTAAGTGAAGCCTCTGGCTAATGAACAACTATGAGTTCAGAGCACTGATGCACGGATAAGTCTATATGACAGAACAGCAACTACTAAAAAACTGCCTAATGCAAATATAACAACTGTTAAAATGTTTTTCAGATTGCAGTTGCAATACACCACTGTGATGTTTTCCAGAGCAGGATTGTTTTAAGATGTGCTTTGGTCTTAGTCCCTCTTTTAGTAGCTGAAAGCTTAAGCCTCTGGGAACTACTAATCTAGATCTATACTAGACAAGACATCAAGAGAGTTTATCTACTACCGTTACGATTAGGGCTGAAACATTTAATACGATTAAGCATGATTAATCGATTACTGAAATAATCGTCTAACTAATTCAGTAATCGATTTACCATAAAGTGGAGTATAGAGACAATAAAACATGCCTTTAACTGACAGAGCAACACAGTTAGAGCAGTAATCATATCAAAATTGTAAAAAAATATACATAAATATTTTGCATTTAATAGAAAAAATATTTTCGTCTGTCAACATGCTCTATCCAAAACTCCTCAATTGGAAAAGTGTTAGTTTCACCTTGTTTAATTTTGGAAAAAGTCTTCTTTAAGGAACCTTTGGCTATCCGATTATTAATCGATTAATCGAAAAAAATTAATCAAATTGCAAAATAACCGTTATTTGCAGCCCTAGTTATGATATTATGTTGTTTTTTAAAATCAATATACAAGAATTTTGAGCTATGTTTAAACCAGGTGTGCTATGGGATTATTTTGCTTTACATGTATACCAGTCTTCTCTATTCCTGTCATTGATTGAAATATAGAGGTGCTCATTCATTGTTTACTGTAATTTCACAATGAATGACAGGAAAAAGAATACCTATTAGTTGTTCTTGTTTGATTTTTGGCTGTTTTTATCTTCAGAGTCCACTAATGTTGAACCCCTCCTAGGGGGTACATTCAAAACTTGTATTCTTGTGCATGAAAAAAATACTGTCAAATGTCTCGATGCTTGGTGTTACCTAGCGGTATAGAGAAATGAACTAACCCCCAGGGTAGAAGCCTTTTTTTTTGTGATCGATTTTCAGACTTGATGAATTTTAAGATATTTTTACAAACAACTTTGTTTCTATAACAGGCATGCTGTGCATTTTAACATTTAGGATATTATTAATAGATAATAATGTAAGAAGTAGTTCTAGAAATACATAATGTAATAATTAAGTTTACTCTGTTTTCAGATTTTTTTTCGAGACCGTGGAAGAGGCAGATTGATCAAAGATGATTCCTCATGAAGTTTGCGGAACACATTTTCAGAACTGGAGGGACTTCATCTTCTTTGGTGTGGCAGCTGAAGTTGTCCATTTGTAACAACATAAAGAGTCAGAGCCACAGAGAACTCTTGGAAGCCCCAGAAAAATACCACTGAGAAAATATTCTCATAGGGAAAGACCTTAGTACATAGGAACATTAAGACTTGTTGGGCACAATGAAAGCCAATCAAGAGCGGAGTAATGGATGTCTGCCTCCCAAGAAACGTGAGATCCTGGCAATGGAGCAGAGGCCAGTAGTAGTAGCCGCTGCTACTCCTCCTGCTGTGGTGCCGACTGATAGTACCCACACAGAAAACTTAGCATGGCTTGCAAGTGTGGCCAGTGAACGCTGCAAGTCCAGAGAAACAGAAAGTCCAAGATGTCCTGTTCCCTCAACTTCTTCTTCTTCTCCTACCACGTCTATCCCCTCCCCAGCAACTCCCATTTCGGCTGTGCCCCTGGCCTCTCTGCCAGCAGTTTATCCAGCTACCCTTCCCCAACAGCCTGGGACAATCCAGTTTGCTCAGCTGGGACCAAACGTGCAATTCATCAGCTCTGGGCCCTATGCTGGCTATATTTCCTCCCATATCATTCCAGCTAATGCTAGTTCTGCCCCTAACAGCTCTGCATTAGTAGGACAGCGCACCCAGATAGATGGCTACACCACTGCCCTAATATCTCCCAACACCAAAGGAGAACAGCAGTTTCAAATTGGACTCTCTCCTACAGAATTGGCTCCAGTTACACTTCCAGGTTCCCCCCAAGTAACTAATCAGTACATCCATCTGGACAGCAGAGCACCATTGACTGTAAGCGGAAATGCTGTAGCATCATCTACAGGTCACCTTCAGCTACACCCTCATGCAGCTGTCCTCCCACCAACTCTTACACTTGCCCCATCGCAGCTTCTGGTTCAGTATGCAGATGGTTCAGCTTCAAAGAAACCAGAAGGCCATGTTAAGGGTGTACTGAATGGAGAAGTGGAAGTAGTCAAACAAGCCAAAGTTTCAGGAGCCAACCATCAGCCCATACAGAGCTATGAGGCCAGGCATATCCTCCTACCTGCTGACTATGGCCAAAACCCTACAGGTTTGCAGACCTCCTTGGTGCTTGTTGCCCAGCCAAACCATGGAGTGGAACATGAAGCTGGCTCAAATAAAATTTCCTTGGTCCAAACAGAGAAAGGAAGCATCTGTTTTGGGAAGCCTGTATCCAGGGCCTCTTCTTTCACTTCACTTTCTTCCTCAGAGGTGGTCAAGTCTGTTGCTCCTCATGCTGTCATTCAGACCAGTCTGCCTGCCGAGGAACTGCCAGCCAGTCTCTACTCGTCCACCCAGCCTCCTATCATTGGCTACATTACCAGTGCAAACCAGCACACTGTTAGCTACCATGCAGCACTGCCTCAGCACCTGGTCATCCCAAGTGGCCAGTCCCTCCTCATACCAGTCAGCAGTGCCAACAATGGCACAGAAATAGAGGTCAATCGCACTGTCAGTGCTCTTACTGCCACTACTACCCCTCAAATATCCACCGCCATGCCACATGCCTACTTGGCAACAGCTTTGTCCAAATGTGAAGCTCTTGGCCCAGACGTAAATCAACCCCCTACTGTCAAACCACAGGCCACAGCCTTACCATCACTGCCCACAAACCCAGTCGCCACAGTGGTTGCAGCTCCTTCCCAAACTCCCACTTCTGTTCCCACTCCTTCCCCGGCTTCCATCCAAGCCTCCCCCTCCATCTCTTCCCCATCTTCTCCCGTGGCTCTTCCACCATTCTTTATGCGAGGATCTATCATCCAGCTAGCTGATGGGGAATTAAAGCGTGTAGAGGACCTCAAGACAGAAGACTTTATTCAGAGCGCTGAGATCAGCAGTGAACTAAAGATAGACTCCAGCACTGTGGAGCGCATAGACAGTGGTCAAAGTCCCAATGCAGTGCTCATTCAGTTTTCAGTAGGGGAGCTCAAAGCCCAGGTAAGTCATTAACAAGTTATCTATTTGGGATATCTATAAACATTATACAGAAATGTGTGTAATTTCATATCAGAAAGATTTAAGCATGTCAGACAAGATTAAAAACAGATTTTCACAATGTGTGTTTTGCTGTGTGCTCTTAGAAAAAGGTTAACTGTTTCCCTTCCTTGTGTTTATACTCCTGTCTAGGTGTGTGTCGAGGTGCTGGTGGAGTATCCGTTCTTTGTTTTCGGCCAGGGCTGGTCATCTTGCTGTCCTGACAGAACCACACAACTGTTTGAGTTGTCATGTGCCAAGCTTTGCGTCGGTGACGTCTGTGTGTCATTGACCCTACGCAGTTTAAGGAATGGCTCCCTGACAGACTGTCAGGCTTTGGGAACCAAGCTGAAGATGGGTTCACTCTCTGACCCACCCCACTGCATTGATCCCAATATGACAGACACTATAAATCCCAACCCTCCGGGCAGTAATGGTACTCTCCTCATGAAGGCTTCCACTGCCAACAGGGTGGAGAGACTGAACATTTCTGGATCTGGAGATGGAGAAACTATTCGGCTGGTACCATCTCCAGAAAGGGTGGAGGGGATGTACAAAGGTGCATCAGTGGTGGCAGGTTCTGGGAGGAGAGAAATAAGACAAGATTCAATAAAAACAGACATATCCGCACTCTCTAAACCACAGTGCAATGATCCAGAGAGACCTTTTGTTCGCAAGAGACGCTGGTCGGCTCCGGAGCGAGACCAGACTGAGAAAGCTGAAGAGGAACCTCCTGTGACTCTGCCTAAGCCCTCTTTTTTACCACATGAGGTGAAAATCAGCATAGAGGGCCACTCGAGTGCTGGGAGTGAAAGATGTTTGAAGAAAAGAGTTGACTGTTAGGAGAACTTTGAAGTACCCGTTATTTGCTTTGTGTCCAGCCTCTCTTTTTTCACTCAATCCTGACTACTGTAATATAGAGTTTTTTACAGGATTTACATGTTTTCTTTCAAACAAGGAAGAAGTAAAGTAGAGCACCTTGATGTGGTAAGACGCAAGATGAGTGCAATTTCTGCTGAAAGCAACAATGAATGCAAATGAAATGTTGATCATGAACGGGGAACGTCTGTTGTAGGACGGAATAATGCGGGACCGAAATGAGTTTTCTTACAAAATAATAAAGCACAGGACGTTGTGTTTAAAGGGGTGTGTTGAGGCATAAGTGGAAGGTCGAGTAAGAGATGTTTGGTGTTTTAATGACAATGGTTTTTGTCTCAGTCTGAATCGAGATTTGTATTTTCATCTATAATTTTCACACCATCATGATAGCGGGTGGCCTTATTCCTCTATATGATTGTGTGTTTGCCTGTTCACATGTATGCTTGTTTTGTTCTTGCTGTCAAATGGAGCACAGGATGTGAGATGATACTGTTAGCTGCAAAATTGTTCAAGTTGTGAAATTCATGACTAAGAAGGCTTGAATGTAATCCCCTAAATAGTGACTCACCAAGTCATGCATGTGCTGTTTGTTACAACCCGATTTGTAAAATGAGAATATCGCTCTGAGTGTGATGCAATACTATCGCAACAGGCTGGTTTTAACAGTTATGTGTAGATACATCACTACAGTATTTCCACTAAATACCAATAAATGAGTTCAGTTACAGCTATATGAACATTTTACAGGGATATGAAATATGGCTTACTAACTTGACTAAATGTTTCCTGAGCACATACAACTGCTTACAATGGGCTATTCTGCAGTCCAATGCATCTCTACCAGTGTGTTTATGTTTTGATACAACTAAATAAATTAAAACTATAAAAAAGTAGACTAAAGCAGCCCTGAAGTACAATATATTGTGGGGTCTGGTTTCTTCACACCGCTCCTATGGCATTATGTTTATTATCATGGATAGATGAACTGTTTGAAAGTAATGTCCCATGACTCTTAACCATTATAGAACAACTTTATGTTGCACTGGAGAGCCTTAGCTCAGCATTCATATAATTCAGCTCACTTTTATTATAATAGTCTAGGGCAATTTGTATCATAAAAAAATGGCTGATGTTATAAAATAACCTAAGAACAACCATTTTGACCTTGAAGAAATAATGGAACAGTCATATCCCTACTTAAACACTTGAAATAATAACATCAAGCCATCTTTGGCTTTAAAACTGTGGAAAATTTAATCAATACTGACCACCAATCTTTGTTATAGTTGAGCAGGGATTTAGCACTTTAAATAAATAGAAATTTTACACCTTATAAATAAAACACCTGCAAATATAGCATATTCTATAGATACCTGTTCTGAAAAAAAATTGTATTTGAAAAAAGGTCTTGCTTGTGTCTTTGCCTCCTGTTTACATAAACCAGGATTATACTGCAGCCCATATGCCTCAGAAGTCAGAACTCAAATCTGGTAATAAAGGTGTACTAAGCATAACCATGTTCCAATTTTAGATATTTCTGTGATTAGCTAGTTTTTATAACTTTGTTTTTGTTTTGTTTTTTGAAAAGAAGCTAGAAAAAAATCTGACTGCTGCCTACAAAATAAAATAAAGCATTAATATTGCAAAGCGCTGCAGAATTTTAGTAAAGGTAGGTGTAAAACTGGCAAAAGTCGTTGCTGCAAAAATAAGGCAATCAGTGGGTCAGAAATCGGGCAACAAAAAATAAGCCTTTAAACAAGCTGATATTTTGCTAGTTGGGTTTGCAACCGGATGGACCACAAGTCTAAAACAATTTGACAGCATTTAATGTGTTATTCATTTAGTCACAGTGGCAAACTTTTTAATAGCAGAGGTTAGTATAAGTTATATTAGATCAAGTTAGCAAATAATATGAGCAGTGCAAAAAATTGCACAAAAAAAACGTTTGGCTAATAACGCAAATCTTGTAATGATATAATGAGAAATGATGTTAATATTTATATCCATTTATCTGCTAATGAAATTCAGCTTGAAACTCCAAATAGTGGTCAAGGTAAATATTAATTGGACTGCTTATTTCCTAATTTCCATATCATGTGGAAACTTCATAGAAAGATAAATATTGTATTAAGTGAATTGAGGACATTGCTTTAATGGGTTCAGTTGCTATCTCTATTAAGCTCTGAAAAGGTTAAAATGTACTTCATTTGGTGATTTTAACTGCATAAAAAGATGCTGCTGCTACAGTTTGTTCTAACCAAAAATGACATTGAAGAAAAGCAGTGTGTGCTACCTAAAAAATGACAAAGATTTCAGCATTTTGGGCGACTAATCTCATTGGTACCTCTATAACAAACACCAAGGCTTTGATATTTAGCATGCATGAAGTTTACAGCAGTACAGTGGGTTTTACATTGAGATTTTAACATCAATTTGCCTTTCTCAGGTCGACACCTGATATATGCTAGAGCAATGGCGTTGTGATCTAAACACCAAACTTTCCTTGTTTCCATTTTAGAAGAAAAAAAAAAGATTCATACTACAGTTCATACTCAGGAAGGGAACGTAGTTAACAGATTGTATTTGAGGTATGTATGTGTGTGTGTGTAAGTGAAGGCCTGAGATAGTATTTCCATGTCATCAGTCACGTGTATGTGTGTGGATCGATGTTTATGTGTGTTGAAAAGCAGCACTTTGATGGAACATGCAGTTGGAGCTTGATGGCAATGGTGAACCTCTCTCACAGTTTTTAGATATAATGATATGAGACTGTTTCTTATCACTTTACATGTTTTGCAGGTTTATCACAGAGAGAAACCAATATAGAATGTAAACAGACATGAAACAAACTTTATTTTTCTGAGGATTTATAGAGCTACTATTAAGCGAAAGGCAGAGATGCTATAGAGCAAACTAGTCATGTACAGTGAAATTGTATCTTAGAGAGTGTACAGAGTGTAATCTAACCTTTTAATGTACTGTATGTGCCACAACGCCTCCTTCTTCAATCATTCCATTGACTCACTGATACCTACAACTTCTGCTCTTGTTTGTTTCAACTCTGGTATTGATCAAATGTTCATGAATGTGGGAACAACACTACGGTGGGCCTCCTCAGAGTTTAGTTGGTGTGAAAAATGGATTGCAGTTTTATCCTAATAGCCATTTAACTCCTATGGGAGGGGTTTATTGTATACCCAGAAATCAGACTGTTCTGTTTGTGTGTGACTGCTCAGGCTATATATATATATATTAAAAAAAACAACACTGCCCTCTGACTGTTCTCCTGTAACTATGTGGTGTTATATCCTTCACTGTTACAAAAAGGAACTACTGTTTGTCTTAATAGCTATTTTATCTTCCTCACATGGCTCACCTATGTAGTTTTCAAAACGTAATTGTTTTTTAGATACAGAGCGGACCCGTTATGATAAGGACCAATACGTTAGACCTGGTGTTTATTTCTAAATGAAAATTCTAGGGACACATTTATGGGCTGATGTGAAATAAGTGAGATGTAGCATCAAAAATAAGTTGTTGTTTTGTGTTTTCCATAAACCTGTGACTCTGGAATTGAAATGCTGATGGCTCCCTTTTTAAAATTTCCTCACGTTTTTTTTCTGGATCTATGATTTTAGAATCTGAAGAATATATAGTTTAATTTGCAACAAACAACTGCAGGAAAAACAATACAAGGAAATGAAAAGCACAAGCCAATATATTTTCTGTGAGACAAAATATTGAAATTGGCTCACTGACTGCAAATGAAATTAATTTAACCAGCTAAACCACGCATGATGAAAAATACATTTTATTAAAAGAAATACCATGATATAAATTATGTTTGTTACAAATGATTCATGCATTAATAAAGATGAGTTAAATCAATTATAATCAGTTTAAAATACATTCAACTAATTCTTTTGTCCGTAGCAGAAAACCTGTAAGGTAAAAAAATTGACTGCTGCTTTATCGGTATGTCACATTCAATGTCATTTGGTTAATTTATTTGCAATTTTTATTAAATTCCTTCAAAGTCATGTAAAAACTAAACATGTTGCTATTTTAGAAAATCTGAGTCATGGATTTTACAAACAGAAGCTATAAAACTTAAGTCCCTGCATAAATGTTTGCAGCAAAGAACGTTTCATAATTTAACATCATTAGAGCTGAAAGTAAATACTGACAGAAAACTTTTTATCTATGGTAAATCAAGTTTGTTTTGTATTTATTATAAAAAAGCCAAGACATTTCTTACTTGCACTAATAATAAGGTTTGAACATAGCCAGTAAACTCTCCATGACTGACCTTATGTTTTATAAAGGAAATCCAGCCTTTATTATGATTAGACAGTTTTCTTTACACTTTTTTACCATCTGCATTTCAAATCAAACCTCAGGCATTGGCCTTGAGTTTTGGATCAAGATGCTATGTTGACCTTTTTACATCGTCTGCTGTTACTGGAAGTTTTCTGCCAGCAAACAAATCCATGCTTTATTCTGTCAGCTGAAATAAACTGTAATACAAATCTTTAGAAATTGATTACAGATGTTTGTATTTTTTTTTTCTTTTTGTTTTGAAAAATGAAGTAATTTAGTTTTTGGACATTCTTCTTTTCATTGTGGTTTAATTTTTATTGTGATATGTTCCAAATAGATTGATAAATAAAGTTTGAAGATTATATAAACATGAGCCGTCAAGAACAAATCACATTGCAGTTTGAGAGAAAAGGTAAACAAAACTTTCCTTTCCTAACTATGTTACTGTCTGTGATACATTTTGTACGCATCAGAGTATATATATGGTAAAAAAAAAAAAAACAACAACAAAAAAATGTTATCCCTAATAGATTTAGATCTAAAAATGTTTATTCAATTCTACATTCTATTAGAGAATGGAATCTTTTAAAAAGATTGTAAAATGATGTGCAAGGAGTAGGCCTGCAAATTTTGAAAAAAGTAAAGAATGCTTCATTTTAAAGGCAAATATGGCATGTTGAAATATATTGGGCGATTGTCAGTAATCAGTGTAGAAATCTTTATTGGTCTCACAGTATTCAAACCCTTTTTATATTCTTGTCAGCTGGATAATTTATATATTTCCATTGGTATTAAGAAAATTTAACTTTGGTAATGAGCTCCAAGTCTTCGAGGTTGGGAACGCCTCCTTGCCATTGCTCTAATTATTAGGTCACTTATTGCAGACACGCTATCAGGACAACCTACCTTAGTAACTCTACTTGATAATGATTCCTTATGTCATATTAAGCCTTTTTGGAAAATATATCTAAATCTACCAGAGGTATAAAAAAAAGTTTGACCTTAGGTGTACACTTCATATTTTAACTGGTTTCACATTAGAGACATACAGTACAGCTCCCTCCTCATTTGGATATTTTATCATGATATATTTACCATCTAAAGGGTCAGGATGCAGTTATCAACCTAAAAACTGAGAATTCCGTGATATATAAAACTAGGATATCTGCATATATGTATAGCTAGTGGTCCCAATTACTGCTTCACTACTGAGTTCTTTGAAAGCATTTTTTTTTAATTTTTATTAATTTGAATGGGATTTTTTTTATCCAAAGAATAAAACTGACTCAACATTTGTTTTCCTGTCAGTGCATGACCACATTTGTGGAGTAATTGATGCCTCTATTATAGGCTTCTGATACATTGCACTAGGGGCAGGTTTTAGCGCAAGGTCCACGAGTTAATACGCTGTTAATTGTTATGAAATGTTAAATATAAACAGCCCTGTGTAAAAAGTAAGAAGGCTACAGAGCTTTTACTTGCTGAGAGATTGCTTGCTGGCTTAAAGTTTTCTAATTAAGTTTCTGGTCAGTAAAACAACTTTTTCTCCAGGCTAATATGAAAGGACCCCAGCTGATGCTGACAACTTCACATCTACTGGGATTTAAAACTGACCAGTGAAAGTGAGCAGCTGTAAAGTCTTCAGATTGGAAAAGGATATAAAAAAAGGAACAGATAAAAATCATTTAAGGTGGTGCATATTAATGTGAAACGGCTTGAAAACAAACACCAGCATAGAGCAGGTTTATTATAAATTAGGAACCATCTTTATTCACAAGCACATCAAAGTTGGCTCCAGTAAATTAGTAATTTTACAGTGTTTCAGTACAAAGTGAAGGACGGAATAAAAGTGCCACATGGTGGGGATTTTTTGAAACTGCACTTTGCTATATGGATGTGTTAAAACAAAAGTTGTCAGTGAAACAAGCAACAGAAAACCTAAGAGAAACATCAGTTCGCCTGTTTGACATGTTAAAAAATGTAAATAGCCAAACGTCTTCCGTTATAATGTCGGTCTGTTTTTATTCCTGCTAGACTCTGATCCCCTTGTACAGACCCTTTGAAATCATTTGAATAGTCATTGTTCAGTTAAATAAAACACAAGGTGTTTTTACCTAAGATGTTTTCTTTTGCACCAGCTCAAACAACCCAGGAAGCAACGGGAGTCAAAGACTTTAAAAATGTTTTTGTAATTGAAGTGTGTTTGGATGAATCTCTTTGTAAGATGCGGTGTGTCCTATCAGTACAGTATGTAGTAAGAACCAATAATGTTTCTTTATTTTGATGGTGTTGAGATTTGCTGTTAAATTCCTCCTTAAAATGTTTAATTTGACTTTTTCCCCCCACATATATTCAATGAAATAAAGAGTATGAAGAAAAATGCAGCCTGAAGTTTTCTCAATGATAATTCATTTTAAAATTTTAAAGGAGCCTCAAGGAATTTCTACCACTAGATATTTGCATTTTTTTGTGCCATTAGATCAACATTAATGCCATTTTAATGCAAATTAATTTTAAAGAGTAAGTACATTTTTTGATAAATACATTTTTTTTTTTTACATAATTTTAATAATATGATAAGTGTTGCACACATTTTTCTTTTTTGCTGCATGT